AAATGAATACATGAATGTTTAATTAATGAGGCTCTTCACTTGATCAAATATCGAATGAAAAATACAAAGAACACAAAATTACAGTAATATTTAATATTCCACAAAATTATTGCATGACATAGTGCAAAAAAGTTTGAGAATTTGATCATCAAATGTATAAATATAACAAAAATTTTTACTTCAATAACATGGTAAATCATTTGGTAAAAAGTATGGTGTATTTCATCAGTGTATTTCATTGTTTGTATGCGTCCATTTCTGAGATTTAAGAAAATCCTATACAAAGCCCATGCAACAAAGTGATAAGAATATAACAAAAATGTATACTCAAATAACGAGACGAATCATTTTTGTAAAAAATGTAGCGTATTTCGTCAATGGTATGCGTGCATTTGCTGATGTTTTAAAAAATCCCATACACAGCCAATGCAAGAAAGTGGCAAATGAACCGTTTACTCCGAGTGTAACGTGTGACGTTGGAGCGGAGCGCAGACTTATCCGAAGCATAAATCATGAACGTCGCGATTACTTTAGAAGGTATCGTCAAGGTGCGCCGCGACAATTTTCCCCTTGGAAAAACAGTTCCCTCGGTCGGCCGTGAAGCCAATGTTAATGCAACCGTCCCGGAAAAGCCTCGATCTAAGCGAGCCAACCCTAGGAGAGTCCACTGGTCGTGACCAAACGCGATCGATCTGTCAAGATCATTGGAGCAGCCGCCGCTTTATTTAGATGTCGAGAGTCCACTGACACCGGCAGCTCGCAATTAAATCTGAATCGAGCGAATCCGTGCTGACTATTCGATAAATTTAATCCTGGCATATAACTTCGCAAAAGCGACCTGCGTCCGTCTCGTATATAAATGGCGACTTCGAACTGGCATTCGATTATCATTCGTCTAGCATGAATGAAAACATATTCAGAAAGTAAATGGCGAATGCTTATTTATAGAAAACAACGAGTAAATGTCATAGATAATATACAATACAATTAATTTCGAGTGTAATAATCCACAAAGTGGCTAAAATTGCAAAAGAAATGCACTACTTTACGCTGCAATTCCAATTAAATTGATTGACCAATTAATCAATGACAGTCTTAATTGATTATGACCAACTCTGATACAGCGATGTCAAGTCTCGTAAATCAATTTAAATGTAAAGAATCGAATGGCAATAAATTTATTTTGACGACCACGTTTATACAAACATCTAAAAAATTAAATTCCTAAGTCGTATACGTGTCGAAGAAGGTTGTGCTAAGTTATAAACTAAAAAATTCAATTTTAATGCTTCTTCTTAAAAAAAAAAAAGGGAATCTCAGACACCATCCATTTTTCAGACCAAGACACGAAACTACCACCTAAAGTTCCGATATCTCACGAAAACCTCGGTAGAGTAGCTGTGTAATCTGGGTCATCGGATTTGTGAAGATTTGCTCAGCAGCTTTCGCGAAACCGGGAAAATTGTGGTTCCCGAGCGTAAGTAGCAATGACAGTTCGCAAAAGTAATGAACTCGACCTGTACATTGAAACATTTATTTGTTAATTTATCTTTGTCCTTTCATTAGTAATTTTAATTTTACTACATATTAACTTGGTCCTTTTATTAGTAACTTTAATTTTACTATTCAACTTTCAGAGTTTCAATTATTTTCTATTAAGAAATTCTGTATAAAAATAAAAAATTCCTATAATAGACATCCTTGTAGATAAAAAACAGACTTTCACTATAAAAAAATATATGCGATCAGTTTTTTCTGATAATACTGTCGGTTTAATTAGTACAAAATTGTTTACATTCTAAGGCAATATCACATTGGAAGTTGTTTTTTTGATTGATTTTTTAAAATACAAATGTTGAATGTTTTTTTTAGACAAAATGTAGATGTATATTGGTACACTATATAGTATCCTTATAACATTTTCTTGAATGCTAGGTAGAGTGAAGCGACACACCTTAGATTAGGTACTTAGTTTCCGCAACATTAATCGGCGGAAACAATTGAGACTTGAAGAACCTTCGAGATCCTTCGATAACTTCGTTCTTGCCATGTTATAATATCTTTTACACGAGAAACTATGCTTGAAAAAGCACGGATTACAGTGTAAAATATATGAACCCCTTCTATAATATAAATTTATAATTAATATTTTAAAAAATACTTCAATAAGTAATCGTGGATTAATATATAATTTTTTCATAATTTTACTACCTTCTAGGTATAGTAAAGTATATAAATCATCATGAAAAGTATTTTAATACTTTACAACCAAGGTAAATTATAATTAGAGAAAATTATGTAAACCTTTCTTATATGATTAAATCAAAAGTATTATCATGCATAGAATCTCGAAACAGTTCCTCTCCTTTTTCTGTAATTATTAGCTGTTTTCAACACTAAATTTTTCGTTGATAAAACAGAATAAAGTCACACTATATCTTCTTAAATGCGATGATCATTTCTTTTGTACACACCTAAATATGATAAATATCTATTTAGACGACACCAAATCGACTATAATCTCCGTGGTCGATTTAAATAGTAACCAATTATACTAATAATAAACCAAATTGATGACGCTTTAGAAAATTTCATGATCACGAACAATGTCTTGGAAGAATTGCCACCTTTCCCCAATATCTCTCTAGCTCAGAGCGCAACGTGCATTCTAAATCAAAGATCACCGCGATGCATTATGGAGCATTTCTATGCAGATGTCTACGAGTTCTCACGATTTTCACCTGGAAGGAACTAAATTCATGTGAAATAATTTCACGGGCTAATTAATGATTTTTCACAGAATATTTCTAACCAATGCTAGCGTTCGACGATTAGTTTTCATCCAGCTAAACAGCTGTGCATGGAGGAACAATTACAGCTGTTAGCCGATGAATAATGAACCGCTATTGAGACAAAACTCATGCCCAAAGCACAGCGCGCCAATGATGTCATTAACGTTGATCGCCGTATCGCGAAATCGATCCAGGCCAGAGCCGGCAATTTCAATTTCGATTTTTATCCAATTAATCCGCGGCCGGCGTGAAACGTGACAGATATTGAACAGATTGAGTAAAATGCGATTAACGAGCGTAGATTGTGAAAATGTAACAAACGTCTAGATGAGGACATTTAAGATATTATTTTCTATGAATCAAGCTGTAAGAAAGGAACAGTGTTTAATACGTAACGATTTTTTATTGTGTATGTATATGCATGAAAGTTCCTAGTCAAATTATGAATCACTGTCTCCGTGAGTTCGTATTCCCAATGAACAATTCGCGCTGTTTCATTGCTGTTTTGCCACATCGTGCCAGAACCCTTGTTCGAACAGTGTTCGTAACTAAAAATCGAATTAACGCTGCTAAAGGACGGATTCTTGCACGATCCAAGTGACCGAAGAAAGAGTTATTACTTGGCAATAGATCGTCTCCTCCTTTCGCGTTCATGTTCGCCCCAATCGCTTAAATTCCCGACACCTTTTTCGAAAGAACCAAAAGAACACACGGTGTCTCTTTGTCTGGCGACAAGCCAGGACTGACCGCCGATAACGAGGTCGCTATGATGCCTATGTATCGATTGTTTATCGCTACGGGTTTTGCGCAAGCTGCCATGTGCCAAGATTAACGGTGCGACTGAAAGCACGTATTAATGGACAATAAGAAGAGTTCAGCCCGCGAGTGAATGGAACGAACAGGTTCAATTGTTTGCATTCGCGTCCAAGCATCTTCCCTATAAAACCCCGTTAACGTATACAAGGTATTTCTGTGATTTAATGTACAAGCTGATTCACCTACAGTGAGTACACAAACTATGTTAATTCACGATTTCATCGTAATACACGCGGGAGGAATGGAATAGAGAAAAGAAAAGCGAGGAGGGGGAGGTGATAAAGAGATTCTCCCTCTCTCTAGTAGTAAAAAAAGCGAAAGGAAAATTTTGTATATTTTGTACGTATATACGTATGAAATAAGTTAGTAGTATAAGAAATGTAACGGAGGCCTTGTAATCCTGAGGGGACACAATAAATACACATACAGTAATGTCTCGTTGAGTGCAATGTACCCAGGTTAGCTTCAGAGCATTTATGGCAAGGCGGAAAGGTTTTCAGTCCCTCATAAATTTACTTTCTTAATTGAATGTCCTACAACAACGAATATAACATACAAAATTAATTGGAATAGGTTTAACAACAGCAGCTATGTTCTATGCTGAATCGTAAAATGTATATGCATTCTATACACTATATTTTGTTTTGCTTTTTTTATAATCCATAGCTATAAATGTAACACACATATATTATTGTACTATACAATCTATTAGTAATAATATATTACTGAACACAATTTAAGTTTATAATAACACATACTTTCCAATTTGAAATTAAAACATACATAATTAGATGTGGTATCTCCAATGAAATGTAAAATATTACCTATTTCATTTTCTTCATCAAATCCAACACACTAATACGAAATGATTCCTTAAATTTGAATACCAAGATTAGACAGTAAAGAATGAGTGAATACTAAGTCTAAAACATTATATTGACAAACTATATTATTGTTGTAACTGTTATTAAGATTGTAACAATAAATATTCATTTATACATGCTTTATGAACAATCATTCCACATAAACATCATACCCTTATCGTTACATCATCGATACTTGTCACAGAACTATGCTAATACATCAATAGGACCTATTTATATACACATGTAACAGTTTCCTGTATTCTAACCTCCACGTCAAAATATTCAGTCAATCCATAACTTTTTATACACTCTTTAAAAACCAGTCCCTAAAAAGTCAATCAATCATTGCTTAATCACAGTTATCCTTTCCTTCATTAATCATAAAATTGTACTTTCATTCTACCTATAAACAGACGTTGAATATTCTCTTAAAAGACAGATTTAAAGCTTCAGGCATAAACATTTAGATAATAGAATTCCAAATACTACCAAACTACTATTTTTGAAAAGGAGGATGAGCTCATACCTGACGGGAATCATAAGCGTCGGAGAAATGTTCAGATTCGGCTCCGGCGTGCAGTTGCTCGCCGGCTGGGCCCTTACGTCGATCGTCACCCGCGTTACGATCCATTGCGTCGAAATCATGGACGACCGTATCGGGCACACGGTCACACGTCCGATCTTCCGTCTTCGGGGCAGATTCCTCTGTTTTGCCCTTGACGAAGAGGCGCGAAATCGCACTCCACATTCAACGAAATCACAGCATCCGCGTCGGTGGCATCGACGATCCGTTCGAACGGGTCCTTGTCCTCGTCATAGCCGGCAAGACAGTGTTCGTTCAGGGAATTTCACGTTCCTCCAGGACCGCGTGGATTTCCTTTCTGTCACGGTTACATCGGGCACCCATGCAGACCCGTGTACAACGGGATACGAACAGCCCAACCGAGAACGCGAAGGTTAGGGCTACCACCGAACTTTATTCGAAGTAAGGTTAGAGTATGTACTCGGTAGAACGTGATTGCAACGAACAGAGATTATTCACGTTGGAACGACACCGTCTTCGGTCTCGGTATTCATTCAACACACTCCGACGCACACGTAAAACGTCGTCACGGAAAATTCACGAAAACGGCGACAACGAAGAAATTCGAACGATCTCAGGCTACTTTAAGTCACAGTCGCATCACACGGTGAGGCTGCGACAGACACACACGCTGTTTTGAAACCGCCAGGAGCGTTCCCTGAAACGAGTAACGCCGCGTGTAACGTTGTCCTCAATGTCGCACAAAATAATGCCGGTTGATCACGATAAAACGCTGCTAAGGACGAACAGTAAGAACTAAGGACACCCGGGCCCGTGTTTGCGGAGGACTCTGCTATTTTTGTCGGCAACTCTCCTCGCGCGAGCGTTCCACACTCGACGGGCAATGTGCAAGCTTCTCTATCGATTTTGCGCGAAACAGTGCACAAACCAGGTGCAGGCAACAAACGCACAGTTAAAGAAGTGTGTCTCCTTGATTAGGTCAGAGCCAGTTCCGATTTAGCTTCCTCGAGAGCTTGTATCTTTGACGGTCGATTCTCTCGATCGTTGCAAAAATGTTATTGGCACCTGTAAAAGGGGCGTACCTCGCACGATTCTGCTTTGTTCTAATGAATAATGATTCTATTGCTTCCCGAATCGCAGACTTGCGAAAGTTTATCCTTTAATTGGTAGAATTCCTTCGTGTAATTATCCTACAGTCCAAATATTCAGGCTCTCGTTGACAGCGGCACGAAAGCACACGAGAAGGCTATAGTAGTAGTACACAGCACATACTTTGCACTAGCACCACTAACAATTTGTCGTCTTCACTCGACCGTTACTGGTTATTTGCTCCGTAAAACAACTGAAAATCACGGTCTACTGTGTTAATGCTCGTGAATACTCAAGTGAGAAGCATTGTCAGCACGAAAAATCGTCATTTCGCACGAACATCAAGACCACGGCACGTTCGCCGTCCATCGTGGAAACGATCATCGATTCGAAACGAGATTATCGTCGAGCGATACATCGAAATAGCGTTCGAGATTCGCCACCATGTTCCTCCCGGTCGAGTCAATTCGCGGTGGCGAGACTTCGGGACAATTATGATTTCATTATTTGTTTTACGTATTGAAAACGTGATAGGTATCCATTGTAATAGAAATTCAATCGCAAGAATATGATCTATCAGAGTAAAAGATTTTCTATTAATTTGTTTATATAAATATCGCGAATTTCACAAACATGCTGTTGATCGACTGTGAACGAATCTTATTGGTCGGAACAGAGTTTGAAATGTCACATGCCTCTTTGGTTGTCGAATGAAACCGCTATAGTGGCACTAGTATTTTATGAATATCAGAAAGTTTCAACAATTTTGCTGTTAATTACTAATTATGAAAACATGAAAAGGTGATTTTATTGAACAATAGGTAAAATTGTGAAATAAAGATTTAATAGACGTAAGAAATATCTTTATACGTGTTGATTAAATAATTTATATTATAAATTAACTAATGCGAATTCTATCCACATATTAATTTAAACAATTCCGTTCACTAACAGTAAGTATGTAGAAATATAATTTTACTCGAAAGTGATCTGTGTGTAAAACAGATTACCATGTGGTGTATATCTAGTGACATCTGTCCACGGTTTTAACAACTACTTGAAATAAATATTTGAACCTGGAATTCACCATCTACGTACCGCTCCCTTAATGCACGCACGCTTAATGCACGATTGAAGCGCCCCTCGCTCACACGTATTTCTACATCCTATCGTGCACCCTATTCTCTTTCGCCCAGCAAGGAAGGAACGGAATACAGCATACGGTGTTGCGTTTAATTCACAATTTTTGATCACAGGAAGTACGGTATGTATATACAATATTGTTTTAAGGGGTCATGTTACTGTGATACTTCGGAAAAATAGATTATTTTTGTATTTTTGGAAAGTATATATATTCAAGAATGTTCTGAAAAATTTTCATAGCATAATTCCAAGTATTTCAGCTCTTATAGCCGATTGATTGTAAATAAATATGTACATGTAGGAGAAACTAGTATCCTAAAGTTTTAATCCATTAACAGTCGAATAAAATCACAGCATGTGGCAAAACAAGTGCCTTTCTGTATGTACTAAACTAATTCTATCTATGACAAAACATGTAAAAAAACGTATTTTACGCAAATCTTTTTAATAATGACATCGTGTGTGATATATGCCCCGTACCCGAGTCTCATTCGGAATAAACCGTTCTCAATACAACAGTAGAACATTCGATTTACGCACGACTCGGGGCTGTAAAAGGCTAAATTTCCAGGAACTATGCGTGAGTCGAGAGCCAATTCTTCGCATGCTTTCCCCACCGATCGTCCATTTCCTTGTACGACGTAGCTACATATAGGGTGGTCTGGATGTGCGCACTTTACGGTCATCATAATTATGTTATTTTTAGAAATAATAGAAAAGTTTATTCTTAGAAATTGTTTAGTATAAGAAGGTTATTACTGACTATGTAGTAACAATTTTTTCATAGGTACAAGATCATTCTGAGATTTCAACGTTTTCTTTTTTAATGGTACTGTGTGAACATTGGTAGGAAATGTCTTACTTGTTTAGCGGTTTTCATCCATTACGTGTGATCTGCGAGACAAGAAACAATGAAATTGCCACCAATATTCATACAGTTATACGAGAAATTGTTGTTCAAATAGAAATAGATTAAATAGAACATTTAAATATGTCGTAGAGTTTGTTTTAAAATTCTTAAGAACATGGCAATAATAAAAGTATGTAATTCAATTTCAAAAAATGGCATTGGTATTAAAATGTATATAAATAATAGTTTAAAAAAATTGAAATATTCTATTAAGTGTACTCCATAAAATCAAACAATTTTTATATGAAACATTTATTTGCATTTTCAATTAGATGTTATTTTATACTCTTTTTGGTTTCTATGATTAACCACCTTAAAGATATTTAATATTACATAAATATTAATATTCCATATGAGCGAAGTATAATACGAAATGTAGTTGATTATAACTGAAAATATCTAAAAACATTTAAACATTTTATTAAAACAATATACTTATACACCGCCCTTTCTGTAATGAAATATGCGAGTTAAACGCGACACCGTGTGTATTCCGTTCTGGGCGTGCTGGGCGACAGAGGGGAGTATGCGCACGTGTATGAAAAATATATACGTGTGAGCGAGGGGCGTTTCTGTTGCGTCGTAGATATATCGGGCGTACGTAAATCGAATGTCTACTTGACGCTTTGCCTTATTCTCATTCGGGATAAACTGTTAATAGATTGAAACGCATTTTCCTCGAAACGTAATTTTTATAACTGACGCAAGGAAAATAAAACTATTCAATCGATTGGTCTGAAATTTTTACATATTAGTCTACACATCAATGATGGTTTTGGGGGATACCACGATCACCGACGTGGATATAGGAGTAGACCTAACATCCATTGTACTTTTCGGCACACTGTTTTAAGATCCTAGAACTTCATTACCATTTTTATGTCAATACCTGACCTTTTATCGACAAAGCATGAATTATGGATATTATTAGCATAAATGGTAGTGTGTACCTCATTTATATTACGTGTATTCAATATGATTTGGTGATAACAAACATATGCGATGCTTCGGTTTAAAGCAGTCTACATAGTTTGTCTCTCGGAAGGGGCCCCTCATGCGCCTGCTATCCCTCCCAATCTTTCTTTGTACCTTCGTAGACACAGAAGTTCTTATCTCTGTCACTCCACGATAACGTGGAGGTGGTAGGGGACAGATATTGGCTTTAAGGCGCCAAGCTGGACAACACTGGTTTAAAGGATGCAATAACGCCCATGAAACATGACGCACAAAAATACAGTGCTGTCCCCTTAACTGTCCGATCCTCAAAACCCTATGTGGACGGTTATTTGGGCGGTAGATTTCCGAGAATTTGATTGACAATGAACTAGAGAGAAATACAGTAAAAGCTCGATAATTGTGTGCCTGTTAATTGATTGCTAGAAACGTCCCTCGTTCACATGTATTTCTCACATACGTATCCGCACCCTACTCTGTCGCCCAGCAAGGAAGGAACGGGATATATATACGGTGTCGCGTTTAATTCGCATATTATTCATCATAGAAAGTACGGCGTATATAATATTGTTTTAATAAAATGTTTCGATACTCAATAACTTTTGTAAATAAGCTTTTCTTACTATCTCTAAAAGTAATAGAGTAGTAAGGTGATGAAAAAGCGCGTACATCCAGCTCACCCTGTACGTATCTACGTCGAACAAGTGAACGAACGTTCGGCGTGGAGAACACGCGTGTCATTGGATCTTGTTAATTGACCATTTGACCAATTCCTGGAAATTTGGCTCTCTACAGTCCCGAAATGATCAGTCATTGTCGATATCGAGCTTCTACCGTAACGAGTGTGAGTGGGATACCGATATCCGACACAAGGTAACGCGGACAGGAGTCTGTAGGTGTGAACACAACATGTCTTCCTAAACCCAGTTCCAAGAACTGATGGGGATAAAAACGGGCGCTAAAGCCGCGTACTCAGCTCAACATGCGGCCCCAAATGAGCACAGAACGAGTGCCGATATGCTCAGACAATGCTCGGGCGGTGCTCGGACGATGCTCGGATGACGCTCGGGCCGAAAACCCCGTACTTATCTGAGCATTCGGCCCTAATATGCATCGAACGAGCGTCGTTGAAGCGAACGTTTGTTAATATGGATGGCAACCCGGGGTTCGAAGTGAGCAGTGCATTTCTTTAAGACAATTGCAAAATAAATGGTTAAAAAATATATTTTTTTTAACTGAAATAATTTTTATTAGATACAGTAGACATTCGTTTCCCGCGCCACCGTTATCTGCACGAAAGCCACGCCCCTTGCTCACACATATTTCTCACACGCGCGCGTACCCTACTCTGTCGCCCAACACGCCTAAGCCGGACATATACGGTGTCGCGTTTAACTTGCATATCTCATCACGAAAAGCGCAGTGTATATAATACTGTTTTAATATTGTTTTTATTGGTGGAATGAATATTGGTAGCAATTTGATTGCTTCTTGACTCGCGGATCACACGTAATGGGTAACAGATGCTAACCAAGCTAGACATTTGCCACTAAAATATGTCACGAATTATTACCTTTTTCACATAATACTTTAATACTTTATTACGCAGAATGTTTGGAAGAATCGATTTATATAATAAAAGTATTTTATTCCATAATATTTCAATATGATTAATAAAAATAACATAATTAACTTTGAAAACATAGAAGATACTCTACCTACGAAAAACTTGTTACTGCTAAGTAATAGTCCTCTTCATACTGAACAATTTCTGTGAATAAACTTTTCTGATATCTCTAAAAATAACGGAGATAATTAATGTAACCGTAAAGTGCACATATCCAGCCCACCCTATATGTAGCTGCGTCGCACGACTGAACGGCCGAGTGGTGGGGAAAGCGCTCAGGTAACTGGCGTCTGCTTCCTGCACGGTTCCTGGAATTTTGGCCCGCTACAGCCCCGACTAGTGCGGGAAACGAATGTCTACTGTACTTTTATGTCTCCACTATAAGCACACACAAAGCTCATTTTGATCGGTTTGTTAGTTCAACAGTTATGATTTATTGAAAAAAGGTTGACATTATATTTCAAACAACTGTCAAATAAACAATTTAAAAAATTTTCAATAATCCTTCGAGATACGTTTATCGACGGGTCGTGACGAACGAATGCAGACTGTCATAAATTAGTCGTTTTCAAGCATAAGCTCTTACCCTTATTCTTACTCGAATAAATTCTCCATTTCCACTACCGGAATCCCCGTCTTGACTTCACCCAAAACTTAGATTTTTTCTTGGTCTTCGTCACCAAAGTCGACCGCTCACGTTAAGATCAATTTCAGAGCGAACTGACGTTGAAACAGAACTTCTGAAAAATGGATTCACCGAGTAAACCGAGTACGAGCCGTGAAAATACGCGTAGAAGAAAATATACAAGTTGGACAATCCAAAAAAAATTGGAAGCGCTGGAAATGATGGATGCAGGTGTTCCCACAGGTGAAATAGCGTTGGAATATAGGGTCAACGACACCACAGTGAGGAGATGGGCTTATGAAAGGAAGAAATTGAAATCGCACTGTGATTTATCCAGGGCGAAGCGTATTCGTGTGTCACCCGTCGAAGAAGTGAATGCAGCACTAACTACTTGGTATCATGCAGAACGAAGAAAAAACAATGCAGTTACTGTTACACAACTAAAAGGTATTGTTTTAATGTTCAAAACAAAAATTAAATCGCAATAAATTAAATCTAGATCAAACAGAAAATTTGTTTATTAATTATAAAATTAATTTGAACAGTGAAAGCACAACAATTTTTCAAAACATTCGGTGGGACGGAAACATTTGCGGCAAGTGACGGATGGCTCCAAAATTGGAAACGAAAAAACGGCATACGTTTTCTAACACCTACAAAGGATCAATTGACTGCGGATACAGAAACAGTGACCGAATTCAAGGAGGAAATACTACAGTACATAGAAGCTGAAGAACTAAGCTTGAGCCAAATATTTAATGTGGGTGAGACAGGACTGTTTTATAAAATGTTGCCAAAGAAAGCATTAACTACAGGAAGTAGAAACATACAGGATCGATTAACAGTAATGATGTGCTGTAATGCGGACGGATCCTTTCAGCTACCGTTATTATTAATTGGAAAGTCGAAAAAACCACGAGCATTGAAGAATCTAGCGACACACTTATTGCCCGCAAAATATACACACGAAACAAATACTTGGATGAGCGCCGCCATATTTGAAAGTTGGTTCAAAGGAGATTTCGTACCCGAAGTGGTGAACTTTTTAAAATCGAAAAACCTACCGCAAAAAGCGATTTTATTATTAGAAAATGTTTCATCGCATCCATTGATAAGTGAGTTAAAGGTAGGTGAAATTAGAGCGATATTTTTCCCGCCAAATGTAACTTCGCTCATTCAGCCGCTGGATCAGGGGATCATTGAGGATATGAAGAATCGATACATAACAAATTTATTAACTTATATAATAAATGCCCAAGAGGATGGTTTGAATTATATTGAAGCAATGGATTCATTCTCACTTAAAAATGCGATAGAATTAATTAGTGACGCTTGGGATCAAATTACTCATCAGAGAATTTCCAATTGTTGGAATAAATTATTAAACGTGCCAATCAAGGAAGACAATTCGGATGATGTAACTTCGCAACACATCCATGAATTGTACAAGCAAATTAAAGATCAGGAACAAGTAACGTTGGAGGATATTAACAAATGGATTCAAGATGATGCCTTATCCAGCTTAACGGATGAAGAAATAATTGAAAATGTAGAGCAGTCCAACGAAAACGAGACTGGTATGTTTAATACAAATGTTTTTGATTCTGTTCTGAAAAATTAAAGATTAATGGTGCAAAAAATTTAAATACGCAATTTTTAACTGAAAAAAAATGATATATGTAAATAGAAAGCACTTATGTAATTAATATTCTTTAAAATAACTTATAAATTCTTTATTATTTTAATATATTAATAAAAAAAATGTTAGTACTAGTTAGAACAATATATTTTTTACATTTAATATTCATAATTGTTACAAGAAAGTTTACTTTTAATTTTTAAATTAATATTACGAAATGAATACATGTACTTATTTTATTTATAACAGATACAAGTGATGAAGATCTGCCCACAGAAAATACCATTTCACCCGCAAGGGCGATGCAAAGTTTAGAATGCGTCACAAAATTTTTTGAAGAAACAGGACTAATATCATTGGCAGATATGAATCATTTACGAAGAGTTAGGCGGCGATTATTAAAAATTAAAAATCAAATTTAATTTCACAATAATACTGTTTTAAATGATTATTCGTATACTTATTTACATTACATAATAAAAAAATGAACCTGTATATAATTTTAGAACTATGTCAACTTAAGAAAAAATTAATTTTTTAACTGTATTATTTTCAGTTTGTTAGTTATAATATTTTACTTCAGAGTCAGTTTGGAATATTATGTATAAAAATATTTTTAAATAATTAATACTTTGTGCAGCAATCTCTAGTTGAAAATGTTAACAGAAGTTTTTCAATGATAAAATCATGGAACAATAGGATTGAATATCTCAAGAATATTATTTTCAAGATGAATTGAGTCAGAAGTAAAAGATTATAAGTAACATACTCAATATAATGAAGTTAAAACATTAATATTGCTTATTAAACTGAAATACTTATATAGGTTGAGCTTTTCTATTACTCTATATTAATAGTATGTAAATAAATAATATTTTACATACTATTCTTACTGCTTTACTATATTTATTGCAACCTGTAATCTGTGTTTTTTTCTATACATTTATACATAAATATAACAATTAAGCAAATTTAATTGTTGATCATTTTGTGCAACACAATTTTATTCTTTTTATGCAGAATGTGTAGAAGAATTGATTTATGTAAAAAGAATATGTTTATTCCATAATACTTCAGTACCATTAAAAGAAAAACGGCGGCACGACCCTTGATTTTGCGCAGCGAGAAGATCACCCTGTATATACTTTCCCGATCATTCTTTCGCGCTGTGTGACTTTGTAGAACAAAAAAGCGTAGACTTGTGGACGTTTGTCTCTCTTACTCTATGGTAACAGCTGATAGTAGTGGGGACAGCGTTTAGTTCACAGGAGTCAATTTTACTCAGTACCACCCAGTACCATTGCTACCCCACCCCCCTAGCCGTTCTGTAATCTGAACTCGTCACAGACGAGATGCATACATGAATAGACCTTGTCACTTCAGGGGACTTCGTGATTCTAGGAATCTGTAATACCGGCACCTAGAAGTATTCGCGTGGCCATATATCGAGAGTCTACTGTATGTACATACATACATATGTACAGAGTCATAGAGTAATTCTACTACTTCAGTATTTACTTATAACTAGACTAATAATTGATAAAGATTGATGCTGATAAATTTACATATAGAAATTTGAAAATGATTGGTATCAAATACATTTTAAATTTAAATGTCTAATTGTAGAGTGGTAAATCATTTCCAATGGGTCTGTTTACTTCAACGTGTATTTTACTTATTCCATTATTGGCCAATGAAAAACATGATAATCACGTGTGACTCCTCTTCATACATATGTGTTATGTATAACTGTCAGTTGCTGTCAGTGCATGATTATATTTATCAATGCACAGAACTGTCAAAGAAAAGTACTTCATTCAACAGAATTTACCAAAAGTGAAACTAGTAAATACTGGTATATTATTATGTAAGTTTATGGTCAACAACGAGACGCGGGGGAATATGTATAAAAAACTAAGGACATACTAACCTGTTAAAAATACTAAACATCGAAAATAAAATGTGAAGGTACTTAGGTTATATAATTATATAAAAGTTTATGGAGAAACACTCGTTTTATTTCTTTTATAGATATTTTAAAACTAATACATGGATATTTAAGAAGATTAAAACTTTTAAGTGTCAACTACATTTGGGTATAAAAAACAGATGAAAATATAAGCAAAATTATGGCAGCAATACGACACACACTGCAAAGGGAAGTGTTTACACCCAGTGATGAGAAATTACTGAGTGTATGTTATGTGAGCAAAGCATATAAAAAAAAGAAAATGAGCTTTCTTTGTTTAACTACAACTACAGATACACCTCCATCATTGCTTTTGTATCAAGTAAAGAAGAATGATAAAAACATATTCAAAAAGAAACAGTCATGGTCATTAAGCGATATCCAAATTGTGGATGGAGTTAAAAATGATTCTATGGATATAGAGTTACATATAGATAAAGTATATAAATGGTCTGTAACAACTGCTCAAGAACGGAGAACATTTCTGAGCAATTTATATACTTATTCTTGCAGCGTAGCTCAGAGACCACAATTTAAAAATATTCCTAAAGAATGGCTCATAGATCCAAGTTCTTTGAAGGAAAGTGACAGTATCACTTTCACACCAGGTAAATGTTGACAATTTCTACGAATAATATTAAAACAATTGTTTCCATTATTTAATCGTAATGAAGTATTTTAATATATATTCTAAATTATATTTGTTCCATTTATGTTACTATGGTATGACACAAGAAAGGAGTTTATAGTTTCAATAAACATTAGCTTAGTATCATATGTATCAATATTATTTTTGTTACCATTAAGATTTTAATATTTTTATATTTTTAGAACTTCTTACATCACCCATTTCATCAGATTATCAACCGATTACTGAAAAAGAAGCTGCTGATTTAAAGCAGATGATGGAAAACTGTGAGTATGCAGTTGCTAATGCGGAGCTTTTTATGGAAACACTGTCCAAAGATCTGTCTATTCTTGATGGGGTAAAATTATATTCCTAGAAAGTTATTAGGAATACCTAAACAAATGTTCTCAAGTATGATTTTTTTATGTTAATGAATTTCGACTTTAACTTTTCACTGTTAATTAACGCAGGAAAATGTACAATCAGTTTTGGCATCAGAAGCTCGCGTAACTCAATTGATGAATAGTATTGAGGCAGCAATAACTGAAGCTTCTATTGTGGAAGCTCGTCTTGCAGCTTATGACGAAGCGCTTGGTAGAATTAGAGAAGTTATGGCTCGTGTGGGTCAAAAGAATCAAGCTATTCATACAGCTAATAATAATGCGAGACTGCTTCTAGATCAGTTAAATTCAGTCATTGTAAGTAATACATAGAAGGCTACTAATCAAGTACCTTTTCTCCAAAGTTATGTTAACATATAATTTAACAAATATTCAGAATAGACTGTAATGTTGCACAGTACATCAAAAGTGTAGTATTCAATGTTCCCCTTTAACTCTTACATACGGAAATTTACCTTGTTTATGTAAAATTTTTTATTTTCTTACAAGTCACAATTGGATGTTTCACCAACCCATCAGCGTATTTTGAGTGAAGCTGAATTGCCAGGAGAAAAGGAAGAACTTAGTCAAGCAGGTGCTGCCCTTTTAAAAGCAACAACAGCCCCCTTGCCACCAGGACTTGATAAATTAAGCGCAGTGACTGAACAAAAAAGACGACTTGATAAACTTAGAGCAAAATTTTCTGTAATTGTGGCGAGGCATCTGAATAATCTTTTTATACACTTGGTATATATATACTTTGAGTAACATTGATTAATGAAAAAATAACTGAACTGTTCTATGCTACTTTTTTTTTTAACAGGGTAATGACGTTGGGGACATGTCAATGTCAACAGCAGATTTAATTCTTCCAACACATCAAGCAGTTCATCATGAACTTGAACCATATACAGAGTTAATGCAATTACTAAGGGCATTAGACAATAAAGCCTTTGTACAGTTAACCAAAGTTTATACAGATACAATGAGTAAATTATACAAGAGAGATTTAAAGCGATTTTTTGAAGAAGCAAGAAATAAACTTACTTCTAAACGTCTTCAAGGTATAACAATACGTTTGTGTATTTATGAAAGTTATGAACATTTTTACTTAATAAGGAGATATGTTTTTTAAAGTAAATACATCAAGATCTGGTGGACAAAAAGCAGAAGATTTACTAAATCCAACACCTATTTGTTTATTAAGTGGTGAAGTATGGGCACCTGTAGGAGACGGGAATCTTTTAGATTCAGTTCTTGATTGTATGCTTTCACAAATGCAACCAGTTTGTCTAGCAGAACAGGCGTTTTGCATTTCATTTCTACAATTAGACTCTGTTCTTTCCCCATCAAAAGTATGTAAGTCTTATTGTTGCAGATCTGTTGCAACATCTAAAAACTGTTTTAAATGTGTCAGAGCAGTGAACTAGAGGAAACAGACAATGTTAGTAACGGAGCAGCGAGTCCTGGATCAGTTACCTCTACTACAAGTAAAAAATTAGAGAGACAAGTAAACGAAGAAGTGCGTGCAACAATGGCAGCTATATTTCCATCTTTAGAAGCTGAATTAAATAATTTTATTGCTTTTCTAGACAAGATCGATAGTTTGTAAGTTTGTTCAACGTAATTTTCTTCTTTACATATTTATTTCATATTAATCTTATTAAATTTAATTATACCAATTTTTAATATCACTTTTACAGTTGGTGTATGTATGTGTTAGTACGTTTGTCCCAACATGTTATGTCAGCACAAGATACTGGTTCCTTTTTATCTATGACATTTGCTTCTGCTTTGATCCAAGTTAAAAGATCTTTCGACAAATTTATGCAAACACAGTTACAATCGATTTTATGCGATACAAAAGTTAATCGTAGAAATAAGTGTGGTATATTGTCGTACGTAGAAAATTTTGAACATTTTGCAAGAACTGCAGAGAAAATTTTCAAAAATTCAGATAGAAAGGTCGACCTTGAGAAATGCTACACCAAGTTAGTGAGTACAATGTTTGAAGCAATTGTTATCCATAGTAGAGAACATCATAAAACTCCACAAGAAGTTGTTAAGATGGGTAAGATTAAAGTGTTACTTTTGTTTCTTTCTTTTTACATCTAATCATGATAATTGTTTGAAAATTACATTGCATTACAGAAAATTTCCATCATTTATACGATCTCTTGTCACAATTAAAAATATCTGTACTTGATCATGAGCGTAAAGAAGCTAAACAAAAATATCAAGATGCTCTGCGTGCATATGTCACACAATATTTTGGAAGACCTCTTGAAAAGCTCAATGTTTGTTTCTTAAAAGTTTTCAAGTCATTTTCTGTATTTGAATTTGAAATTATTAAAATGTTTACTTTGTTTACAGTTATTTTTTGAAGGTGTACAAGCAAAAGTTGGTGCTGGAGTTAAGGAATCTGAAGTTAGTTATCAAATGGCCTTCAGTAAACAAGAACTTAGACGTGTTGTGAAGGAATATCCAGCCCGAGAAGTTAAAAAAGGTTTAGAAAATTTGTATAGAAAAGTTGAGAAACATTTATGCGAAGAAGAAAACTTATTGCAGGTAAATGAAAAATTTAGTCTAGTGTTATTATACACTATACATTTGTTCGTTGTAGGTTGTTTGGCGCGAAATGCAAGGTGAATTCATCGCACAATATATATACATAGAGGAGTTGATTCAACGATGTTATCCAGATAGTATGGTAACACTTGAATTTACCATAGAAGATATATTAGAATTTTTCTCTGAGATAGCTCGATCTCATTAAAAAACTTAGTAAACCAAGATTGTAAACTAAATAAAATTTTGTAATTCATATTAATGTTTAAATCTTTAAATCAAAGTAATAGTTAACTAAAATAATAAAATTTCCTAAAAACAAAACAAATATTTAGACTTCACAAATACTACATAAATTTTATAAAAACTAAATTTTCTTATAAAATTGAAATTAACAAAAAATTTAGTAAAACAAAATACGATACTAAGGAAAAAGAAGAATGTAATCTTCAAAGTATGGATAAAATTTTTTTTATGATTTTACTTGACAAAAGGATGTGAATACATAAAAAAAATGATGTAAAAATCATATTTATTATCAACAAAAGTACTGTATTATTCTTTAAAATAGAATACTTGCAAGTTATAATATTTATTACATTCTACAACATTTTAAATGTATATTTACTGTACTTAGTAAATTGTAGGAGTTACTGTTCTTTTGGAGTTGGTGTGCTGTAATTAAGCCAAAGCATTCCAGTGGCTCTACCCTGAAAATTTGTATGCCATTAGAAATGAATGGATATAACATTTAAAAAATTATTATATTATTACGTACAAATGCAACAGTAGCCACAAATATACCAACACCAGCAGCTAATTGTAGATTGTATTTTCTATTAGCTTTATCATACGATTCTTTCCAACAACCATATGGTACTGGTAATTCATCCATGTGTGCTGGTCTCAATTCATGAGGAATCTTGGGAGCAGCATGAGAACCTTTAATTATATTTTCATAATTATGATCTTTTGATAATTGTAGATTTTCATTAAAATATTTACTTTTACAAAATTAAAAGTATATAAAATGAAGTATCTGTTACAGTTTATACTTGTCCTTATATATTACATTTACCAATTAAACAGATTCAACTTTTTCTATAAACAAGAATGTTCTACAAAATAATTGAATTTTGAGTTCGAATTGATTTACTTTTATTTTATCAAAATAATAAAAGAATTTCTCATTTATAAAAACATTAATAAGTTATAGTTCAGAACCACTATCAAACACTTCCAGAAACTGACAAAACTGACGAATACCAATATTATATAAGGACCTTGCAATGAGAAAATATGCTTATATGTCATGATAATAAAAATTTCTATATTTACTGACTTACTTCTTCTAGTCGTTTGAACAACAGGTCTCACGAGGTGTCGGAACATTTTTATAAAGGGATAAAATAGTACGTAATTTCGAAAAACTATAGCAGACGATAGAATACAACAAAACGTTCAATACTAAGTAACAACTTCAGCGCATGCACTGTGTGTATTCGCAGATAGGAAAGAGAGTGCTCACGCCCGGGAATTCGTTGCCTCGAGCATATGTGCTACACCAAGCGACCAATTCTGGCAAAATAGTAGGATTCTACTGTGGTAGACAGTCGGCTGTGATCCTACTAGAGATGGCGTGTAAAATCACTAAACGGTGATTTATCACAGTGATCGCCGAATCACGATCACGGTCGTGATTTAACTTTATTCACGATCGTGATTGCGATTTTTTTATCTTGAGTGAATTTGCTCACTGCGATCGCAAGTCCTTGATCTTTAAACAGAAAAACGTATTCAATATGATTTTACGATGAATTACATTACTATTTGTGTTTGTAAAAATCAGTAGAAAAAACAAGAAATTAATTTATTCATTATTCATATTCTTGTTTCTAATTATTCCTTCAGTTTATACGATATAACTCGAATTTTTGTTTTGATGTCGTTAATATAAAATATACAGATTATGTGTCGCATGTAAAGAACTGTTAGGTTTCTCCACCAATCAGAAACGATCACGAAAAATCACGAATCACTGTGAAAAATCACCGTGATTGGGAACGAACGTGATCGAATCACTCGTGATTCACAAATAGCAGTTCACGCCATCTCTAGATCCTACCCGTTTCGGTCCACGCTAGTCGAAATTGAGATAGAATAGGGGAAGGGCCCCTAATATAATGAAAAATAGACGCAGTGCCTCTTATGGTGTATCTCAGAAGCTTATAAATGTTCACGAATTTTGAGGAGTATGTCCAGGTTTTGAGCACTGAGTATAGTAAATATCGGAAAGTTGAATTCAGTTCGATTGATTGAATGATTAAGGCAATCAAATACAAATGAATGAAAAATAGTATTGTCACATAATGTGTCTCGTACATTGATCATTTATTTCTATTACTTCGTAAAGTATGACATATATTCATGAATTCATGCACGTAACGGTTACTATAATAGAGAAATTGTTCAGACAAAACGAAAATAACCGCCGTTGACGACACAGCAACGAGTGTGCGTGTATGATTCAAATATGTTAGAACGTGTTTAAATTGTCGTTATTGTGATATAGACAATGGAAGATTTTAATGACAATGTGGACGGTAAACTGGCCTTTAGAATGCGAAAAGTCAACTCGGAACAGTTCCACACCCTTGTCAAAATGCATCTGTCTTTTGAATTGGATCTCAATACAGAAGAGTAAGTTTATAACTGCTATTGAAATTTTGTTTAAAGTGTTGGTTCCCAATTTGATTAATTCTCTACAAAATCAGTCTTTTAAATTATGAAATGAATTGTTATATTACATAGCAATGACTGTATCAACGAAAAAGCAAAATTAAAGAAATGGGGTCTCCTGAGCTTTACAAAGAAACCTAAGTCAGCAATTAATTTACAAAAAGTTATAGAAGGTGCCAGTTTGACTGAAGATGGAATTAATCAAGTGAAACAACTAATAGAGTATTTATCCGAAGAACAAAGTAAGTATAGATCTTATCAATTTGTGAACACTTGCAACACTATTAAGTAATATTTAAAAAAAAATCTTTTATACATGTTCATTATATTCATTAATGATTTTAAAGATATTATTCAAGAGGGCATATTTCGACGTACTGGTAAATTAACAAGACAACAGGATTTAAAGACTGCAATGTATCAAGGCATTCCGTTAAATCTCAATGATGGTCATTACAGTGTTCATGATTGTGCATCTGTATTAAAAGGATTTTTGGCAGAATTGCCAGAACCATTGCTGTCAGATTTGCATTATCCTGCACATTGTCAAATGGCTGGTAAAATATTGACAGTATTAGATAATCACATATTTTTTTGTTCTTTTAGACATATATAATTCCTTTCGTCATTCTTTTTAAAATTAAACTATATTTTCATTTATTTTAGAGTTATATGGTTCTGATACGAATGGCAATGATGCAAGATTATTAAGATCTCTTCAACTGCTTCTATTACTTTTACCATATATGAACAGAATTTTACTTAAGTATGTTCTAACGCTTCTTAATAGAACAGCTACTTTTGAATGTAAAAACAAAATGAATTGTGACACACTCGCTACTCTTTTTACCCCTCATTTACTGTGTCCAAGAAAGCTAACACCAGAAGCTTTACATATCAATTCCCAAAATTTGTCATGCTTAGTTGCCTTTATGATTAGAAAAGGAGTTGAATTGTTTGAAATTCCACCAAAACTAGCTACAGACATTAGGGCATATTGGGTAGAACAAGAAAGGAAATTATTGAGCCCTAAAAACTCTGATGTGAGTACTCTTTTGTTTTTTGCTTACTCAGGTAATTACAGTTAATATTTTAAAACAATTAAGTATAATGTTCTTGATTAATTTTTATTTCAGTTAAATGAATCAATACCGGATGCAACAGGCACAGCTCATACTGTGTTTAGTTTTGTAGATCATAAATTAACAGCAAAAGCAAATTCCACACAAGATACTCAGGCTGCTTTAGCTCAGCTTTATGCTCATATACAAGCTATGCCAGAATCAGCTAAGAAGCGTAGACTAGTAAAGCAATTTAACAAAGAGAATGGTCAAGGTACACCAAGACAAGTTAAAAATTGTCGAACTAAGAGCCTTGGTGATTCAATTAAGAAGCATATTTTTCAGAAGAAGATTTTGGGGCATAAGAAATTTATTGATTTTAATATAGGTTGCAATATCACTAGATCTAGTAGTGAAGAAAATATATTATCATCGGTAAGATGTATATAAAGTAATACATTCTACAATGAACGTCAATTAATCTTTTAACAGCATGATTATGCTTATGTAATTAACGTGTTTTATTTGCATGATTGGTCCCAACAGAACCTAGAGAAATCATTACTTCAGACAAAAGTTCTATTTAGTAAATCAGATGATGAACTTAGCATGGAAACTTGCGATGCGAATAATGACGGCAGTCTTCTCCATACTAAACATATTAGTAATAGTACCGGTAGTCTTAATACTCCTACATTGAGAAGTTACAAAGACAAGAGAAAGACTATGTTGATGAGATTTGTAGACATAAAAGAGGAAAAATCAGACGAAAAACATCATAATTGGAGTTCCAACAACTCAATTACAAACTGTGATGGGGACTCACGTACAAATGATTCTATTTGTTCAAACATGGCCGATGGAAGTCTATTTATACACGAAGAACGGTTTAAAATGGGGAATTCAGAGTGTGATAGTGATACTACATCTAGTATCCTTAGATTATCTAGACAACTGAGTGAACCACCTGATATATATTCCTCTCATAATACTTTGTATAAAACTGGAGAAAGTGGATTAGTAAAACAAAATTCAGAACCTATATTATCAACATCAAAATCAACTAATGTAGATACGATTTCTTCTAAGTGTATTGAGGACAATAAGAAGTCACTAGAACATTCGAAAATGGAATTGCACTCTGATAGTACATGCGTTCACTTATCTCCTATAGTGAAAAATAGACTATGGAATGTATATGTTACTCACACATCGACGCCATCAAATTTGTTACGTAAAAGCTTGGTCACTAATGATTACATGTTAACTCCTATTACTAACAATGATAAAAGCATGAGTCCAATTACACAAAGTGCCACTAAGATGACAAAAGCTATGCAAGTAAGTAAGACTGCTAAAATTTTTTGCATTACTACTTTATATGTAATGTCAAAGTAATTTAATTACCTAGCACAATTTTGTTTGCCATAAAAAGAGAACAATTTTATTTCATTTATAATGTGTTTGAATCATTGGAAATTTCTTCGTTATATAAACGATAATACAAAGTTTAAAATATTTTTCTATAATGATTGCAGGAAACAATGATGACACCACGATCGAGGAAGCCAGTAATGATGGTTTCAGGTTCAAACCTCTGTAATCTTGCCACTGTTAACAATAGTTGGAATCAACATAATGTGTCTAATAATGTACGTGGTTCAAATCTAGATATGGGTGGACCCATAAATTGTATTTCAATTCTAGAAGAATCTCACAGACCTAACAGCACGGACAGTGAAGTGATTTACGGAGAAAGTATCGATATAGAAGACAAAGAAAATTTTGCCAAAGATGTAGCAGAAAAACATAAGTTATTTACATCCATTCCTGATGACTATTGCGCGGTTACTCAACAAAGTACAATGTCTATAACGAGCACCTTTAGGGAATATTTGTTATCTCGAAGTGTTTTAACTGCTAGTCCTGTTGATCTTAGTTTTACGTCGCGCACTGGAGATTTTGAGCAATCGGAATCTGACTTGAACATCTTAAACGAAGATGGGCTTTCCGAAAGTTTACTTTGTTGCTTAAATGGAAATAATCCAGAATCGGATACTTCCGGTATTGCATCAGGTAGCACTAACAGCGCGAGTAATTCATCGGAAAGAAATGATGACATTGGAAGTTCGCCACGAAAACGAGCGACGAGTTTACAACGTAATGATTCCAAACGATCAGTGAAGGAAAGCAAAACACTACAAAGTATCAGGGGACAAGGTTTTAAACACAAACAATTGAGCGAATCAACGTTAAATTCGGTAAAGATAAAAGACACGTTTCAAGAGACTTCATTCTGATACATAAAGTGACATAGTTAAATCATAAGTCAGAATCAACGTATCCCATCATTACAGTGTTAATGGTACGTTAACTTCTATGTGATTGTGCAAAAATATACATGTTTTTATTTGAATGATATGATTTACTTAGTAAAAAATAGTAAGAATAAATAAGAATATCATGAAAACCTATAATGCTGATAGGTTTCCTTGCCAATGGTACGTATTTGAAAGGAAGAATTTCTGAGGTACATGTGTAAATTTGTATCTTGGCGTTTTGCTTACTTTTTACATTTAAACTAAAGAAAAAATAATATTGTATCATTATATGATACACGGAAATTTATAATATTCGTATGGTGACACTTTTGTATGAAAAATTGACGCATTTGTTTTATATACTGCTTAAAAGTTTGTAGATGTATATTTTGTTAAATTATCAATCTATAAATAAATTTTTTACATAAGAATACACATTTTTTTTAATATTTCGTAACAATGTCGAATTTCGAGAAGAATTGGTTTAAGAATGTCGTAATATGAACAAATACTATTTATTGTTGCTTATATATTTAAGGTATTTACTTGAACTGCTCGAAAATAATCAGAAGTACAATAAAAGCATTTTCTTTGTTAAGTCAATTCGATATATTAGTGTAAAATGTAAAAGATTGAGACGAATTCATTAATTTTCGAGTCCACGTTTTCGACATAAAAATATGACAAATTTAGACAGACTCAACAAGTCCTTCAGCAAGTAATATGAAATTAAAAAATGCTCCTATCTACATTAAAGAACATCATGACATAAGTAGACGGAAATGTCGGTTCTGTAAAAAAACTTCAGATTTTGGCCGTTATTCGAAATGTTATCTGACGGTTGTCCAGTTGTCCTTCGCGTTGGCTTAGCAGGACTTAGTAAATGAGTAAAAGGAAAACGATCGACGAAGTAGTAAAATCTTTTACACATATTCAATGAAATACTTTCAGGTACCCAGTTTAGGGCTATAAAATTAGATTGTTCGATAAGAGGTAAAGAAGTTTCATATTTGCAATTATTTTGTGATGCTGTAATAGAAATCGGTATCATGTGAGAAAAATCGTATTTAACGATATGAAATGAATAATAAATAACGGTTTTAGGGATTTATATTGAAGAGCTAAATGTTTAAAAGGAACATGTCGCTTAAACAAATTAGTTAAAAATGGTATTTATTTCGGGAATATGAACATCATAAATAAACGAGAGCGGTAGAACGAGTCGTGGTATCGATGCTCTCCGTCGGTACGGACGCGTGCCGAACGGTGCCGGAGATGGCCGGAGCGGTCGAACGGGAGCGAGCGAGAGCGGTAGAGCGAGCCGCGGTATCGGTGCTCTCCGTCGGTGTGACGCGTGCCGAGGAATTTCAGGGGTCTATGGGAGGAGATGTGCGAGCGAGAGAGTACGGTAGAGCGTGCCGCGGTATCGGTGCTCTCCGTCGGTCCAACGCGCTAGTGACGTTGCGTACCTGGCCGTACCATCTGGTGTTTGGGTCGTTCAAGGAGGAAGGTCGTTCAAGCCGGCAAAAACAATTCAACAGGAACAAACCTGCGTACGCCCAATACATAACAGCGTTAGCTTCCTCACTTTCTCGTGAGCCGTCGCGGACGGTGGGCGCGCGTCTCATACTCGTCCTTTCTCTTGTTACTAACCCATTGTTTGTTGCAGGCATTCGACAACCATCAATTTATTTACTGTGCATATTGTTGTGTCCCCTCTCTTGTTACTAATCCCTTGTATGTTACAGATGTTCGAGAACCATTGGCTTCGATATTTAT